GTTTGTAATTAATATCTGCTTGAGGGTTAGTCTGACATAAGCTATTCTGCCATTACCAGAACTAGATCCCAGAAGAGAATCTTTTGTGCCAACATTTTGCATAGATCACATTCTGTCTGACAAAGTGTAAGTTGTAATGGGCTTGTGTGGTATTTATTCTCCTTATTTTTCTCTATTCCTTATTTTACTAGTGATCATTGAGACCATTCAGTGGTAATTGCTCATTATGTTTTCATTTTGATCTCTTCTCGAATATATTTGTTCATGCCTGCTTAATTACCTTAAACAATTCTTGGCTTGGCATTCAAGGATATTTAGCAATCTGGCCCCTGCTTACTTTCCTAATTTCATTTCTTAATATTCTTCTATTTTCTCTATAAGCCCAAGCCATAGCCAGCTTCTTTTTATTCCCCATAACCTACTATGCTTTCACTATAATTCTGTGCCTTCATTCATGCTCATTCTCCAGCCAGGAGTGCTTTTACACCCATACCTGTTGGTAAAATCTTACTCTTCCTTTAAGATGCTTTCAAGCACCAATTCCTCTTTGAAGCTTCCTGATATGCATCTCTGTCCATTCCAATATCATTCATAGAGTCACTTATCTGCTGTCATAGTATATTAAAATTACCTTTGTTAGTACTTATACTGTTTTGTAATTTTTTTCTTTATGTGTCTGTTTCCCTCACGGGACCAAATTTTTTAAAAGCAAGGCACATGTGTTGTTATTCTTTGAATACCTGATCACAATGCTGGGTACACCTAAAAATGTGTCAGAAGTGTTTGCTGAATTAATGCATGCATAAATGATTACCAGGAACATTATAGAACTAGCTAAAGCTCCTCCTTAGTGAGAACTTTATGTATACAAAAGCACACACCAAACACTTACTCATTCACTCACATAACTCTTGGAATTTACCCAGGAAAGGGGCCTCTCTAGGATTAGTTTAGGACCATTGCCATAGGCTATGGTGGTTAAACTGGCCCTCTTTCCAACCCACCTGGAAAAACTCAACTTTCTGTCTTCTCTTTAAATCATTTAAATCTAGATTCCTAAGGAAGTCTTTTCCTTTATAATTTCTATTTTCTCCCCATACACAATCTTTCTTTATCTAACTGAAAGTTTGCCTTTACACAAACTGTGATATGGGAGATGAAGGGTGAATTAATCAATCCAAGCCCCTCGGTGAAGTTGGAGCGAGCAGGAATGCTGGGAGTACAGGGGACCAGTGTGCCTAATGTGGTTCTGTTGACCTCTGGCCTTTCAGCAACTGTCATTTAGGAATGCTTTTGTTGATAATTAAAGACTCTTGGATCAGCTGGAAAGCAGTAGTCCAGGTACATAGCTGTGGTTCCTAGCTTCTTCCAAATGTTTTCCTTGAGAAGACACAACATGAATAAATGATCCTCTGCTAGAAAAAGTAAAAGAAGCTGCCTTATAGATTGTGAGACATTCCCTAGGACAATTCCGGATTCTGACACAGAGCATTGGCTATTTCAGGATAAAGTAGCTTTAAAAAAACACAGCCAAAAAACACCTTGATGTTATTTTCAAAAATGAATGAAGCAGTATGAAGTCACACTTGATATGTAGATTTTAAAGTTAATTAGAACAGAACATGGATTTTAGGCTTTAAATATTCAGACTAATAGCATACCTTTTGAAAACAATCTTTTAGTGTTCTATAGAATTTTCGTTATGTGTTTAAAAGGGATTTCATAGAATCCATTTTTAAATTTCTGAATTTAATATGTATTTCTATTGCAACAATTATTCTCTAACCATTCTGTTTCATAAAGCAAAGTTTGGGGAAATTAAAGGACACTTTCTAAATATTCTTTTGATTTTGAGGCCTCTTAATACTTTCCTAAAATTCTGATTCTGATCAGATGTTCAGTTTAAAAATGATTTCCCAGGGTAAGTCTCTTCTTCTTCACACATCTTGGTTCATAGACACAACATTCCTAGTTTTCATTAGGATGTCCCATTCCTTTTTTCAGTTTACTCCCCTTGGAAGAGAGGAGACAAGAAAAAAGAGAAGTGTGCATGACACAGAGCATTTTCTGTTTTATCTTTCCTAATTTGTATTTTATACTCTGTATCATGCTTGGATTTCTTAATTTCCTAGAGCAGTCCTGTGACTCATAGAAATCTGCTGTGTAATTAATCCAGTGTCAGTGTCATGAGACAAAATGTACTATGGGAGAAAGAGGCCAGGTCAGTGGAGGGCAGTTGATGGGGTAAAACCTGAACCCTCTTCCTTGGAAAAAGGTAAAGGTTAGTAAGATAGAAGAGAGTGGAAAGGATATGCTACGAGTGTGGAATGGACTGAGACGGGGAGAGATGGGGCATATGTGTGATGTGTCTGGGAGAATCAATTGATCTGGAATAGAAGATCTACTGAAACAGAATCTAAAAATCCACCATGGTCCCTGTTAGGTTGTAGGAGATTAAAACATCCTATTCACAATGAAAATACATCTTTTACATGAATAAAAGCTGGCTATTTTAGGTTTGTTGGAGGTGGAGAGAAAGCTATGACAATAAGAGCAAATCTCCAGTGTCAATCACCTGTGGCATAGTAACTAACTTAGAATAATATTGAAATGTCTTTGCATATGGCATTCTCCACAAGCCCGTCTCCTTTTATGTGTATGCATGCAAGTATATAAATTGCTGCATCCATGTCAGTTGTAAAGTAATGGCACGGAGGGCATCATAAATTACTGGAGTGATCCTCAGGAGAAGACACTGTCGTGTCTGAATGAGTGTTTCACTGCCAGAGTAATGTATGCCTTCATCTGGCCCAGCAGTCAGCATATTGCCCCGTGTTGATGGATATTGTCAGCTGGAAGCTACACTACATTTCACTGCACAATAAACATGGCTGTCAAACCCATATAAAGTGAAATCAATTTATCCTGTATGGTCAGTGCATTTTAAATGAAATTAATGTACTGTGGGTATGGTGGCAAAAAGGTAGCATATTAGTTATGCATCTTGGGATCTGAGTCTTTTCATGTAAGGGATCATTCTGTCTAGTAGGCCTAAAAGAAGGCTTGTTTATAAAATGGTTTTGTTTGCAGGGTCCTCAGAAAGTGGCCCCTCTGCCCACCTTCATGTTTGGAAAAGAATTAACACTATCATCCAGTTTGGCCCTTTTATCCTGTCTTTTGTTTGCAACAAACGATGGCCATATTTGCCAAATAATAGTGTACTTTATTGTTCTGATTTATTCCTATATCCGACACAAACGAATTTCTGCACAATCAAGGTATCTGGAAATGGAGGAGATGGGCCAGGGATTGATTGAGTCCTGTTGTTCCTGTATAATCAGTCCACTGAGCTGAAAGGATTTACTTTGTCCAGAAAGTAAAAATGTTGGTTTTAATGTATATTTTGCTTCTAAGCTTTGGGGAGTAGGTTTTCTGCTTTATACAGTAGAAGTGCTGGCTTGCCGTCTGTCTGTCCAACACTACATTTAACTAGAGAAGCTCTCAATCTACAGGGAGATGTTTCGTCATTGACACATTGTGAAGCATGCATCAGTGTGTCATGCTGGTGCATGGAAGCAAGCGGGAGCTATGTTCACTCATTCCATTGATTTATTCAATCATTCACTAATTTAACACACGTTACTAATTGAAACTCTACATGCCAGGTGCTTTACTGGGACCCAGGCCGGTTCCTGCCATATCCTCAAGGAGCTTTCAATCTAGGGTGTTACTAGACTCACCTTTTCGGAAACTATAACTAATGTCAGGAATTTAGACACAGTTTTGTAGGGGATGTTAAAGAACTACCCTTAAACAGCAGGAAGATATATCAGGACCCTTGGAATGCATGCCTTTGGTCTACTACTTTTGCATGAGTTGAAGACCAAACAATCTTTTACATTAAATGAAGATATACTATGTGGGAAATCCTGGGATACAAGAGGGAGTAAACATAAACACCAGCTTTAGGGGTCTCATATTCCTGGGGATGGAGTAGAAAAATTAGAGACAGATAGTCACACAGACAGTAATAACTTTGAAGCATATAGCATAGAGGCCACAAAATGAATGCAGCCTGGAGGCATCATTACAGATGCTGTTCCTGCCCCTTCCCATCTGTCTTAGCTCACATGCTAATTCTTACTCATCCTCCAGGACTCAGCTTAGGTAGGACCTCTCCTAGGGTACTAGCTGGCTGTCCTGTCCGGTGCCCTCTCGGAACCCTGTTTACTTCAGTGTTATAAGCACTTACCTTCTACGCCGTGATGATTGTTTCTTGGGGTCTGTCGCCCCACTGAACTGTGAGCTACTTAAAAGCAGGGGCTATTTTATTCACCTTTGTATCTCTAGCACCTGGCCTAAAACCTAACTCACAGTAATGGCTCAATTAATATTTTTATTGACTTAATTAATTCATGAAACACACCACATTTGAACAGGCCTTGAGGGAAGAGTGGGACTTAGTGTGAAGAGTGGGAGAAGGGGCTTCCTTCCAGGCACTGAGAAGACCACTGGCCAAGGCCCAATATTGTGAAAGAGATTCTACTGGAGGGAAAGAGACAGTTTGAAGTGGCTTCAATTTCTGGCAAATGAGGCTAAAATGATAGGTAAGGGTCTGCTCTCAAAGAGAGGAATGTCATCAGGAAAGTTTAGCATAAAATAATGCCCGTCATTACTTCATCATCACTTGCAACTGATCGTTTTAAAAATGTACTAGGCGTATAAAAACATGCACCATTCATGCTGCCCAGTGTGTCTCTGAGGCCTATGTCAGAAGGGCCTGTGAATTGTCATTTGAAACTGTCTTCTGCTTCCGAGAGGTCCCTTAAAAGGAAGAGAAGGGCCTAGGGAAGGCAGCTGGACCAGGCAGCAAGCTGTGTTACATGATCCAGATAATAATGCTTTGCACCCGTCTTGTTCTTCCTGCCCTGACATTACAGGAAGTAAAGCAATGAATGGCTCTGCAGCTAAACTACAGCAGTATTATTGTTGGCCAACAGGAGGTGCCACTGTGGCTGAAGCACGAGTCTACAGGGATGCCCGGGGCCGGGCCAGCAGCGAGCCACACATCAAGCGACCAATGAATGCATTCATGGTTTGGGCGAAGGATGAGAGGAGGAAAATTCTTCAGGCCTTCCCCGACATGCATAACTCCAACATTAGCAAAATTTTAGGTGAGTGCAGCCGCTGAGGCTGACCTTCTACCCCATGAGTGTCCCAAGAATGGAAGCAGGGGCACCATTTGATACCTAAGGGAGACTGGTTTGCAGAAGTTAGATATAGCCCAGCAAGCTACCATGGGAGACTTTGTCACCACCTCTGCGTCCCCTGCCCCAGAAAGTGGCATTTAGCTTTGGGAGTTCTGACATCCACAGGGTGCCAGGGCAGGACTGACTAAAAACATCTTTTAGAGACAAAACTATTTCTAGGATGTGTTAATACTATGAATTTGGCAACTCTGAGTGGTCACTGCTACACAGCAGTCATGGAGACAAGCTTTATCTCCTCTTCTTACTCAGTCTTCTTAAATTCCTAAGTGGCTATGAAACTTAGAAACACGTTCAGAGCCTACAGTTTTAGGCTGTTGTATTCTTGTTCACATGTCCCTCTGAAAGAACTTATCACAGACGTGGGGGTGAGCCCCCACATCGTGTGAAGTTCATGGAGTGCAGAACAGTGCCTCTAATGATAACTTTAGAAGCTGTAAAATAAAACTACATTTACTTTAATACGATGTGACTAGTTCAAATTTCATAGCAGCGAGCTGAACACATTAGACCACAGGGCAGAGGCCCATTTTGCGGTGAATTGCCGGAGTGATCCTCCCGTTTCTCAGGATTAAACTCAAGCCTTGTTCTATTAGTGTAAAGCTTGCCTCGTGCGGATTATACAGTTTGGAATTATTGTGCTCAACATATTGAACATATTTTATTCAACACGCAGCATTACAGTCAACATGTTTCCTCTTTAAAAAGAAAAAACACAGAAGGCACTGTTCTATTTAAGCTGTCAGGATGTGACAAAATCTCAAAGGGAGCCGGCAAAGAAGCCGAAAAACATTAGAGACTTAAACTGTGGTTTTCATTTTTTAAATGTTTTGTTCAAAAGCAATAAATATTTAACCTGAGTGAATATCAGTGATCTGGACACACACAAATACACATGTTTTGTCACTGTATAAATAATTTAACTTGATTCTGAGACATTTTGAGGCAGTGACCTCTAAGAAAATTCAAAACATACATGAGATCAAATAAAATACAAATTTCCCCCCTTTTTTTTCCATTTTTCCATTGGAATTTCGCAATGGATAGTAAATGTCATTACAATTAAATTTATTTTTAGAGTTTCAGAGATATGCATAGAGGTATTATTCCTTCTAATTTAAATACCTTTCAAACCAAAATGCTCCCAATGCATACATTAAGTTTGTTCTAATTAATAGACATTCTAAAGAAAACCAAGGTTTCCTCTGTACTTAAAGTTTGATATTTAACTTTGAAATTTTTTTTTCTTTCTTTTGGCCATTTTAGCAGCAGTATGAGTAAGCTCCCAGATGGGCACAGAACTTCTCTGTTTCCATTTTGGCAGCTGTGGGGAATCTATATTATTGGTGTGCATTCTCTGAAAAAATTATTAAGAATATAGTAAGTGTATTCATTAAAATGTAAACTTTTAAGCACAAGAGCACCAAGCATCCTCTGTTAGCTGGGTTCGAAGCTGCTAGAAGTCAGGGGAACAGTGAGGAGCTACCTGCACGGACTTTCCAACATTCACAACAACCAGGAAGGAGCAGGGATGGATGGGCTATTAAAGCAGACCAGGATATTGCTGGCTACAGAGAATATTTGTACAACTTTTCCATTTGTTTATGTATGAAAAATCTCCACTGAAGAATAGCTCCCATCCAGTCAGCACAGCTGTTACCGCTTTATTTGCCAGCGAGACACAAAAATGCAATTTGATACATGTAAAAAAACACATCCCTTCTTCATCAAGTGTTTAGATAATTCTTTATAAACAATATTAGAGGAGTGAATACTTTTGCTTCTTCCTGTATAAACCATATTAAAAATTTTTGTACTTTCATTGGGACAGCTTTGAATGGACGTTTATAGTACTTGAAAATGGTGTATATAATCCCAATGGTACCTTCCGGCTGCAAAACTATCACTTCTTAAGTAGAGTTGAGGCTTTTTCATTACCCTAGGCCAGGGGAGACGGTGTGCACAGGAGGTTATGGTATATGGAGGGATAGCCTATCTGCTGACATCTTGTCAAATGATCGCTTTGCTAGAGATGCTTGGAGTGAGAGAGAGGTTTGAGTTTTGGACCCAAGAATGTTTCTCCTGAGAGCCCTGTCACACTGAAAGAAGGCAAGATTAGGTGTTTAACCCTCTGGAGAGAGAGGGGCAGATGGGAGGGGGAGAGACTTTGGTGTGGGAGAAGACCTTTAAGCAGCAAAGACATGTTTTAAAACAATGCACTTATTGTAACACCATCTTTAAGTTACTTTAAGTTATTGAGGGAAATAATATAATGTATCAAATAAAATTATTCTTTGCTCTATAGTCTAGCAGGCTAGCTGTGAGGCTCAGGGGTATGTGGTACTAGGGAGCACTCAGAGCACAGATGGGAGGTATGCCTAGTTGTATTTGCCAGGAATATGTTACCTTCACCATTTGGGCACTTAAGGTTATTTTTATGTCCAGGGTCTCGCTGGAAATCCATGTCCAACCAAGAGAAGCAACCTTATTATGAAGAGCAGGCCCGGCTAAGCAAAATCCACTTAGAGAAGTACCCGAACTATAAATACAAACCTCGACCGAAACGCACCTGCATTGTTGACGGCAAAAAGCTCCGGATCGGGGAGTATAAGCAACTGATGAGGTCTCGGAGACAGGAGATGAGGCAGTTCTTTACTGTGGGGTAAGTGCTCCTGAACGTAGCCACCTGGGCTTTCCCTTCCCAGCAAGAAACCGCAGGATGGCTACCTGGCAGCCTGTTTGGGATGGAGGTTAGGGGAGGGAGGAGGCTGTGACCTATCGAAGGGGCTTGACTGTGGTCACCTTCATAGTGTCGCAGGCACACAGCCTTCAGCATGGCTCCTGCTCACATCCAGACCTGCGGCAGGTCACTCCCAACCCATCGCCCCTGTCGTTGTCTCCCCAGCTAACATAAGACGCTCGGTGCCCACACACAAAGTTCCTGGTAGTGTATCTGAGCAGACACATGGGGAGAGAAAATAAAAACTGAACGTAAGAAATCCCCAGAAGCTTTCCAACTTCTCTGGGTGGTGCTTCTGACTCTAATCACAATAGTCTGCTTTTGTTGTGGGATCCACCACAAGATAATTGGCCTTGACATTGGTTAGAGGACCTCATTTCTGGCATAAGATCCAGAACTCCTGTTGCAGTAAATTATTCTGTGGTGGAAACAGTAACAATGTGGATTTTCTTGCTTAAATCAAAAACTAGACATGTTTTTGATATCTTCAAGTCTGATTTCATGTCATTTTGTTTAAAAATTAGGTAATAGATTTCTGGTATAAATTTCGACTTGGCTGACTGGCTGTCTGCATTCAGAAGAGGCCCCTGTAACCACAGTAGTCAGGATAAGTGGGGATGCAGATGCCTGTAGGTCCCAGCACAGCCAGACCCAGAAGTACAGGACGGGGGGAGGGGGAGTGCGAGGAGGGGGGAGGCTTTCTGGAGGTACCGGCGAGGCAGCTGGAATCAGATTGGGAAGACACTTGGGAAAGAATTTGCGAGAGAAAAGTAGAGTAAGTAAAGAGGAAGCTGTATTCACTGTTAACTGGACAGAGAATTGAGGAGCTGTGCAATGCCAGGGAAATAAGAAGAAAAGAGATACCTGGAAAGATAAGTAAAGAGCTTGTTAGTTTTAATGACACTCAAAAAAAAACCTCATAGAACAAAAAGTTGGTTTTAGAATCCTGTATTTAAAGCATAAAATTAATTTGAAATAGTAAACAATAAAAATAACAACAAAAGAGCCAATGAAAGCAGTCTAGGCGTGATTCTAGATAGTGTGCTAGAGTGCTCTGGGAGGAGCCTGGGCTTTGCAGTTGGTGAGATTCAAACCAACTGTGCCACCCACTTGGGCAGTGATTTAACTTCTCTAACCTTCTGTTTTCTCATGTGTGAAATGAAACAACAGTACCTATCTCATATGCTTGTTGAAAGGATTCAATGAGGCAGTGCTTTTAAAAGTACTTTATATAGTGCTTACTTAGTACAATACCAATAAAGGTGAATTTCTATCATCATTACTATTAAATATGGATTTACTATCACAGTAAAACTATACATTACATCACACTCGATAATCAGTGAATTTCTTTCCACTGCAGAACCTTTTCCAGTAAAGAGGGGTTTAAGCCACTGTGTTATGTCAGGATTCTAATCTAGTAACAGATGAAGACATGCAAAACAGGATTGTCAGATTCTCCTATATCATAAATGTTTGCATTTTTTAAAATAATGCTTTTAACGCCAAAAGTACAATGCGGTGTAATTGATCTGTTCACATGCTAACTAGAGGATTTATGAAAAATAGCAATTCATAGTGCACTTTAGGAAGTATAGTCATATGCAACACAACACAAATTTAAGACCCTGTGATACGTGTTTTCTTTTAATCCTGTCAGTGTATCTCTGAGACTGTACATAATCTCTTTTGAACAGAGAATCAAAAGTTTAAGTTCGAGACCCTTTGTGATTCCCACCCTTCTCTCAGTCATGTCCCCTGTGTGTCTAGCAATACATAACGAGTCTCTTTCACCATTGTCTGGGAGGCTGTCAAAAGTTCCGTTTTAGTTCCCTGGTACTTACTTGAAAATCGGAGATGCAGTAATTCTGCTTAATTTAGTTCCCTTTACCAAAGGGTACACTGAAACAGCTCTGGATCAGAATATCTGAACACATAACAATGCTTGTAAAATAACCAAGCTAAAACATACCATTCATTGTCTACTATATATTGTGTAGTTGTTTTAGATAGACAAATCACATGGTCCTCTAAATAAGAGAAAGACATAGTGGCTTCTGGCGGTCCTATGGCTGCTGAAAGGGGAGAGAGAACAAAGGTTTAAATCCCTATCTCTGCCTGTGTTGTGCCAAATGACTGAGGAATTGTCCTTACCCCATTGCCTCAGAATAAGCCTGTGAGCCCTATTTTGGCATAGTCATGAGTATGGCTGTGCTATTTGAGGAAGAGCTCCTAGAAGCTAGAGAAACTAAGATCGTTGGCTGTGGTGTGCGGTGGCATAAAAGAAGCTTTAAAATATAGAGAGTAAGGATCCTGATTTGGGTCATGATGCTTTATGGAAGCATCATTTTAGCCTGGGGATGAGCTATAGATGTGCAAGCAATGACCAGTGGATATCGCATTCTTTAATCCTCAATGCTGAATATTTTCTTCTGCCAAGCTTGGTCATACTTACTACATAAAGCCAGGTATTATTTCCACTTAAAGAACTGTATTCTCTTTAGGTAGTTGTATTTGATAGATTATTTACTCCCTGGGGTTCAGCTTTGGAAATTGGTCTTCATTAGATGTGACGTTCTTACAAAAGGGAAAAACAAACAAGAAATTGAAACATTGCTATTGACTTATTGAGGGAATGGGTAAGATCAATATTTATTGCTGATTTTGAAAAAACATGCATAACTTTCAAGCCAATAAAATTTTGTTCAATGTGGTCATGCATTTTACTGATGATACAAATAGAAGGTCAGAGAGTTAGGTTGTTTTTTCACTTAGCTGTTATGAAATGAATTTATTAATTATATGAAATGGAGTAAAGCTAGCTCTTGGATTTAATACCCTTGATTGACAGGTTAAGTATCAGAATTTTGTAATAATTCTGATAAGAGTACTGTTAATGTTGAAATGATATTCATTAGGGTACATATAGTTACAATGCTGTCTTTTCCCAAAGAACTATGGCCAAATGTACCTCCATTTGAAAATCATTCAATAATTTACCATGAACTAATAGAGGATTATGTAGATATTATAAGATATTCAATTTGAGGCTATTTTTGAATAATAATATTGGTAAATTATTGACTACTTATCACATGCGATATACTATGCTCAGGGATTATACAGACCATTGCAAATACAACAGATTTACAAAATCCTCACAATGGAGTTGGAAAACATGATGTTCAGAGATGTTAAATAATTTGTCCAGGGCCACACAGCTAGTAAATTGCAGAGTTAAGATTTAAACCAGGCATATGTGAATGTGAAACATATGTCCTTTTCACCATTACACATACCTCGCAATTAGAGCCTACAAATTGTTTAGAGGTTGTATGTATAGTGGTTAAGAACATCAATTCTGGAGCCAGACTATTCCAGCTCAAATACTAGATGTGCTTCTTCCTGGCTCCAGAAACTAATGCAGAGTGATCTTTATGCCTCTGAACTCTCCACTTGCCAAACTTACTTAAACTCTCTGTATCTCAGTTTGCCATGTATAGAATGGTGATGACAATTTTACCTACAACATGGTACCCTTCTGAAGACTGAATAACTAAGTATATCTAAAGTGCTTAGAACAGTTTCTGTCAGAGAGTAAGCCCCAAATTAGAGTAAACATAATTATTCTAGAAAAAAAATTCTATGCGCCAGGTATATATTTTATAATATAAAGAATTGCAGTCTACTGCCTTATGCTATATGCAATTTGAACATTTACCCTTTTGACCTTAATTCTAAAGAGATCTAATCAAACCTATAAGAGACTTATAAATATAATTGATTAGCATAACAAGACATACTTATTTTCAGTATTGGTCTTCTGCAAAGAAAGCTGGATTAGAATAAGTAAGGTAGAAAGATTGCTTTTATTTCCACTCCTTTATACACTATCAACTATAGAGATGTATAATGTGCGGGTTTATCTCCTAATGAAACAGACTTGGTTGCCTTCATTTATAGATGCTGTAAAAGACTGAAGGTTCAGCAAACAAGAGAGCTTTTCCAAAATAAGTATGTAGTTCCTTCACAATTGGCAAAGCTAGGCTATACTCTAGAAATATTCCGGTGATTTGGAAACCATGCAACTATGCTGGATTTTATCAGGGTTAGCTTGGACTCTCTCAGGATCAGCTTATACTCGTTACCTAGGCTGGGATGTGAGCGTTTTTAGCCATCTCTGCTCATATAAGTTGCATGAGCTGCATGTGTATACTTTTACAAACATCTGCAACTTTGGTTTTGATGTGCACATTCATTATTTGTAAAGCTTCCAATACTTACCAGCTATTCCTGTTTGTGAAATTTGCAGTGTTTGAATTTTGACTTTGCAATTGATCTGTAAAGGAAGGAAAAATGCTTTTTAGGAAAGTAATTTCCAATAGACAAAGCTTGAGCATACTGGCTGGATTTTCCATTTTGCTAATTGATTAGTCAGTCAATTGGTAAGGGCCTATTTGAAACTAGCACTGTGCCAAGCACTGTACTAAATTGATATAATACATGAGGCATTAATTCTCTGAGCTTTCAGAGAATGCTATAGATAGATAAGCCAGACACATACATGAATAGATGAGCAAATATTAATTGTTATACGCACACACAAAATATATATTGCATAGTGCTACGCATAATGTATAATGAATTACAAATTTTTATAGAAATAGCAAGTATAGCTCAGAGGAGGAGAGATTACTATACATTAGGGCCCACTATGGGTCATCCTTGAGGAAGAGGGCTTGAGGTTTGGGTAGGGTCAGCCTGGTAGAAAGTAGGGATAAAGATTTATATTTAATGTGAAGGAGAATATGAATGCATGGGATGGGGGAATATGGAAATGTTCAATAATAAAGAAGGAAGCTAGGAATTTCCCTGGCAGTAAGATAAGTAAAGACAAGTAAGATAGATAGGGTGGAGCAATA